ATTAAACAAATTTTTTCAAAAAACATACTTAGAAATCTATTTTTAGAAAAAAATGCCAACCTTGTTTACAACCATACCAGATACCATTGACCTTGACTATTTTTACTAGAAGTGTTCTAAAAGCTTCGGTATTGGTATCTATAAGGATGCAGCATATACATCATGTCCTATCTCCACAAACAAACAACCAAATAATTGTATTTATACTGAACTTAGAGGTAGTATTAAAAGTAGTCACTACTTCAAAGTACCAGAATCTAGCGCTATTATTACTTGCTTCTGTGGCAAGTACCACACTCATTTTATATCAACAATTAACCAAACCTATAAACAACATGAAATGATCACCATTATTAGAAAACCTAGAAATAAAAAAATTCTTGCAAATAACATTGCAAACTCTACTGAATTTGTTTCACTATCACCTACAGCATTTCCTTTATCTACTACACACAACTATCTCTATGCCAAATGTAACTTACCTATTACTTGCAAAGAAATGAACAACCAACATTACTTGGCATCTGATGCTATTTTATATAATGACAAACCTCATCATAAAACCTGTACAGAAATCCAACAACCCATTCGAAAAGCATAGGTGCGCCTGGTCATGTGTTTGGGATAATTCTGGACAGCCAAAGGTGCTGGAAATGAATTCAATTAAAGGACTTTAAGTCCACAGAATACATGAATACATTGAATTGGTAATTTTAAGTAATTAGTAATTTTAAGTAATTTGAACTGAAATGATGATATGCTCCTGGAAGATTAGCAAGTGAGATTGCACCAGGTATCATCATAACAGTAGAGCGAGTGAGAAGCAGCATCAGCCGGTGGTTTCCCGCCTGCTCGAAGCAGGCCGGCTGTTAAATAGGAAAATGGCAGAATCAGGAGACTGTTCCACTGCGTGTGATGGGTAGGGATGGGTCAAGAAAATGCAAGTTAAATGAATTGGGTTCTTGTGAGAAAGAGTGCATAGAATTGGCTTTTCCCCATGACCTTTTTATATTTGTCGCTTTGGTGGTTTTTTGACTTTGCATGACTTTTCGATTTTGCATGAATTTTCAATTCGTCAATAACTTTATTTTTCGATTGATTCTTAAGCATGTAACCAGGCCGATTTGGGCACATGCCATGTGCCTCACTGATTTTGCGTGGTCGATCCTTGATACGGGTAACCGGGCTGAGGCAAGTACGTGCCGCATGTCCCCTTCCCAATGCTCCCTGTCTTTTCGATCTGTTGATCCTTGTCAACATGCACGAAAAGCATAGGTGCGCCTGGTCATGTGTTTGGGATAATTCCAGACAGCCAAAGGTGCCAGAAATGAATTCAATTAAAGGACTTTAAGTCCGCAGAATACATGAATACATTGAATTGGTAATTTTAAGTAATTAGTAATTTTAAGTAATTTGAACTGAAACGATGATATGCTCCTGGAAGATTAGCAAGTGAGATTGCACCAGGTATCATCATAACAGTAGAGTGAGTGAGAAGCAGCATCAGCCGGTGGTTTCCCGCCTGCTCGAAGCAGGCTGGCTGTTAAATAGGAAAATGGCAGAATCAGAAGACTGTTCCAATAATTAGGAGTTGGGATTCTGCCGCTTCTTATTGTGCAAGGTGCTTTGAGGTCTGTGTGTGATGTTGGTTGTGATTTATGTCATGCATGTCTCATAGGCAGCTGGGACTGCTCTGCCCGAGCTAACGTATGTGTCGCGCTCATGTGTTATTGAGGCTCGTTGTTTTCTTTCTCTTTTTTTTTTTTTTTTGATTAAAAAGCTTTATTTGTTCACTTGTTCGCTATGTGGGTACCTATGAGTGTACATTTCTTTTTTTTTTTTTTGTCTATATGCAGTGTATATGTATGCATTCATTTATTTGTAATTCTATTTATTGCGATTGGGTTGGCCGATGTTCCAATAATAAGGGTTATGAGGGTGGCTCAATCGCAGTATGCTTTTATCAATATCGCAGCTATTGTGGCTGGGTGTGTCCAAATGTATCTGTAGAAAGAATCCGAACTCTATCTGCCAATTTTCTGGATTAGTACGAGTTGGACTCCGCGCATTACAAGTTCAGTTGTGCCTCCAGCTCTGAAGCTGTGGCCCGCCACGTTCTCTGCTGGTAACAATTGTTTGAGTCTGTCAATGAAATGCTGTTTTGTTGCCCATGACCCATCCGTCTTGGTGAATAGTAGTTTACTCTCATGTATCGTTGCGGGGTTTGTTCTTTGCACAATATAAGCTTTTAGTGCGTCTATCGGGCACAGGTCATCATATGTCGGATTAATGATCAGGGATGTGCATATGGCTGCTTTGTGAACCTTAGTGCGTGCTAGTTGGATGGTAGCATATATATGATGGTCGACTTTCTCAAATGTCAAGGCGCCGAGGCTTGGAACCTTGTCGATGTCTTGTCGTGTTGTGGGAAGGAGCTCTCCTAGGCGGGCCAAGCCGTAGAAGGCTGACAGAGCTATTGCCCAGAACAATTTGTCGTCCGGATTGTGGAAGTTTAGGCTGGCCTTTAGGGTTCGTAGGTGGTGCCTTGTGATGTGAGATTTTTGCTTGACAGGCTTGTAGACATGGTTCTGGTCAATAGTTTTTAGCAGCTGAGTGATCAGAGGGTCATTGCACGTTTCATTTCAGTCAAGGTGGTTCATTTTATGGTGGTGTTTCAAAGCTGACAGATAAGACAGAAGAGTCGGGGGTGCAACCCTGTCATGCATATAAGTGATGAATTTTATGAGGTGTTCTTTGGCAATCGGCCAAATGTTTCCTTGAGAATTAGTCCAATGGTTTTCAGCTGCTAACGCCTTGTACTGTTTTATAGCTGATTTGTATGTCTTGTTTGTTTTCTTGTCTAGACCTAGTATCAGTGCCACCTGTTGGTCGAGTGGAAGAGTCAGAGCCTGTGCACTTGCAATATTGCTCGCAGGGCAGTGATATACTATTGGATTAAGGATGGGATTGTACAAACCAGATGAGAATATTTTATGGGGACGATTGGTTGCAGGTAACGCGCAGTAGGGTTATGATTCAAGAACTCTCTATGTCCATTCCGTAAGAGTAAGTCTGCTTGTGAATTTGCTTTGCCTGGTATGTATTCGAATTTAATTGAAAAACCACCATGCATTTGTGCTTGATAAATTTGCGCAACAATGTCATTGATTTTTGTCTGCCTACAGTAGCCATTGTACATGGCATCGGCATTGGCCTTATTATTGGTCCAGATAATGAATCACTTCTGTAGCCAGATGGGTGAGAAGGTCAATATAGCAATGAGTGTAGTCAGCAGTTCTCGCTCCTGAATATTATGTAGAGATAAGTCTAACCCTCAGGCCCAGTTAAAGGTTGTGAAGTATGATTGGAATGTTGCACCACCACCTAGGTTAGACACATCAGTGAATAAGTTCTGTGCATCTGGTCTTAACCAAACCTGATCCTCCATGAGGTGTGTGCCAGACCAGGCAGGAAGTGTTGTAATCCACCAGTGAATGTCCGATTTCATGGGACCATTAATCTTGATATGGGACTTTGGCCCTTGCGTCATGTTCAGAGCTTTAACAAACCGTTGAATGAAGGGTCGTCCCTGTGGGACAACCTGGCATACCCATATTAGCAAGCCGATTAGAGACTGGAGTTCTTTTCGAAAACATGATCGTTTGCCTGTCCATTGCTCCAACATGGCGATAATTTTTTGTTTTTTGGCTACAGGTATTGTGGCTGAAAAGGCTTGAGTATCGAGCTGGATACCAAGAAATGTGATAGAGGTGGCAGGCCCTTCAAGCTTGGATGGCTTGTATAAAATGTTCAAAATGTTAAGAATACGGAGGAACTGATCTAGCTCACGATGCCCATTTGTTCTCGATATAATGAGAAAGTCGTCCACGTAGTGAATGATCGACTGTACACCCTGTTGTACTGCGATCCATGTCAGCATGTCAGCAAACCTGCAAAATGTGCTGCCAGATGCTCGGTTGCTGAATGCCAGTGCTTTATCAAAATATAACTGGCCATCATGGCTTATTCCTTGTAGCACTTGGTTGACAGGGTGAACTGGAATGATTCTATATGCGTCCTTTATGTCGATCTTTGATAGGTGGCACCCTTTGCCATAGTGTGTAATCCATCGGATCGCATGGCTGATATTTTCGTACTGTGTGCTAAATTCGATCCGGTCAATTTCATCATTAATGCTAGCACTAAAAGGGGCTGACAGGTGTGAAATTACTTGATACACCTTCGGGTCAGATTCTTTCTTTTCTACCAAACCACAAGGATTTACCTGAAAAAGCTGGCAAGGAGGCTGGTGTAGGGAAAATGGACCACACATACGACCCTGTGTTATTTCATCTTGTATATATCTTGAGAATGATAGAGGATCGATCTCTATTAAGCTTAGGTTCTCTTGGATGACCGTTGACCTTTGTCCTGAAAAGTTAAATCGAAATCCATTGTTAAGTCCATCTGCTAAGTAAGAGACGAATGGCCGATTTGGGTGGCTGGCTGTCAGATGCATGAATGCATCTATATTAATTGGTGTAGAGACATTAAAAACCTCCGGGTTGAGTTGCCCCAGGATCTCACATTCTATAGAGGACAAAGGCTTGTTGCATGGTGGAATTCTTGTCAATGTGTTGTTGGCTAATTGAAGACCAGGTGGCTCATGCAACATAATGCCCCGAGCAAGTTTGAACTGTGATGGATGCCTGGTATGACGCTCTGTAGCTAAAGCAATAATTAGGGAATTAGGCTTGTTCGTAATGGGACTATACATTTTATCAGGAGTGAGTCAGATGTGGTAAGAATGAATTGACATATATCCAACCCGTAATCTCTCTTTTTTTTTTTTTTTTTTTTTTTTTAATTGTTGTTTCGTGAAAGTACTAATATAGTTATAGTGATACTTCAACAGCATGCCCATATAATCACAGGGGTTTTTTTTTTTTTTTTTTTTTTTTTTTTTTACATATAGTCCTGTAGGGAGCGTAGGCAAAACATTATTGTTGTGTGCTTTTTCCTGCCAATCCATCGTCAGATGAATTATGCTTTTTTGAGTTGTTTTTCTTGAAGCAGCGTTGCTTACTATGATTTGTTTTTTTACATATCAAGCACACGTGAACCCTTCCACAGAGTTTCTCATCTCTGCAAGACCGTTTGTTCCAATTAATACAGATTTCCCTTCCATCAGGCCATTCAGTATCTAATCTTGTGGGCGGGTATGTATTTATTCTCTGTCTTTTAACTGTAGTAGCATCGAAATTCCGGCCTTCAACTTCAGTATCACGATCAAAAAGAGTTAAATCTCGGTTCGTGACTGCTGACACTCTGCAGTCTTCATCGTATGCCATAACCGCATGAAAGCTTTGCTGCAGGCATAGCTTATTGATATGATCTCTGTAACTGTTTAGCTCTTGTTCTCGGTTTCCATAAATTATTAGAACTGCATCCATGTACAATTTGAAAGCAAGAAGTCATTCTGATATATCTAAGAATGCTGCATGACGTGAGCGTCTCTTAATCGAAATGGAGCCTCCTTCAGCTGATTGCAGCACAGGCTCTTTCTCAGTTTCCTTTATGGTAATAAGGAGGTTTTTGTATGAAAACTCCTGTAAGTTTATATAGGAACCAAAAGCAATCACCTTCCATAGCTTGGTTGAAATGTTGGGCTTATGCGGGAGGCTTTCAATGATCTGTTTGCCCTCTTGCCAGTTGGTAACCCACCAAATTCGTATACTTTCAGTCCTTGCAGCATGTGGGTTTGAAAAACTTTGAATTTCATGCATATGGTTAAACTGAGCATAATTGATGGATGGGTATTTTCTTGATGTCGATTTTAGCACAGGCAGCTTCGTGGATGCTGATGCTGGAAGTGCCTGGTTTGCTGTCACTATAGGGCTTTGTGGTTGCAGACTCACTCTCGAAGTTGCCATAATTAGATTATTTAATGTAGGAGTTGGAGGATAGTTACCTGTAGTCTGAATGTCCTGACTCGCCTGTTCTGTTGTATGCGGTTGTGGTGTGTCCTTCGGATGATGTAGGTGCTGTCGTGATGTTGCTTGGCTGGTTGAAGTCAATGTGCAGGGAATAGTGCTGTTGCTGTTGTCTGGTTGCGTAAGCTTAGCAAACATGTTGTCGATGTTTGATTGAAGTTGCTCATTCCATGATCTTTGTCTGTCAAACTGAGAGTCGATGTACTGCTTGATGGAGTTTATAACTGAAGAGCTTGATATTCGGATTGATTCATCAATGTATGACTTTATATGTGGGTCGATGTTAACATCTGACCTTTGATGACTGAGGCCCACAGTTGTGCTGCTAGAAGTAGGTGTGGTCATCATGTGTTGAGGAGGGACATTCTTCGCTTTTCCAGAATCATGTGACTCAGGCTCAGTTTGGCTCATGATCGAGCTTAACAGATCGTATGTACTACCGCAATTATTCCTTTTATGAGTATTTATTTATTATGTAGGTTGCTATATGCTATTATTTATTGTATGAGGAAATTTATTTATGAAAACGATTTTTTTTTTTTTTTCGTTTGTTTACTTCAAGACAATTATTTGAGACAATTATTTGAAATTATTTCGAGAAAATGCAAGTTAAATGAATTAGGTTCTTGTGAGAAAGAGTGCATAGAATTGGCTTTTCCCCACAACCTTTTTATATTTGTCGCTTTGGTGGCTTTTTTGACTTTGCATGACTTTTCGATTTTGCATGAATTTTCGATTCGTCGATGACTTCATTTTTCGATTGATTCTTAAGCGTGTAACCGGGCCGATTTGGGCATGTGCCATGTGCCTCACTGATTTTGCGTGATCGATCCTTGATATGGGTAACCGGGCCGAGGCAAGCATGTGCCGCATGTCCCCTTCCCAATGCTTCCTGTCTTTTCGATCTGTTGACCCTTGTCAACATGCACAACAATCAGGTTCCTCCCCAATATTCATTCAAAAACTTCAACAATCAATCAGATCTTATAACCCTCTAGCATCTGAACTTACCTTCACCACCTCACCTACAGGTAC